AATCATGACCAGACACACGAAACAACTCCCTCCTTTACCCCTTGGGGGGGGATTTGGTCGTCCTGGGAACCCTGATGAGCGCCCTAGTAGAGCACTGCTTCACGAGCAAGTCGTCAATACCGACCGCTGCAACACTACCCCGAGACGTCTGTCAGTTACCACACTCGAGCAAAGAATACTTGACCTTGAGCGACAAGTGGCATCCCTCACTCAAGCTGTAATCGACCGTGATCAGAGGCTGGCGGTGGCTCAACAAAACCATTCTACGTTGGCGAAGTACATCGCTGCACAGGATAGAGCCTTTTACCGAGTCATTAGGTCTGTAACTTCAGCGTTCGAAGAATACAGAGACGGGATGAACAGGATGCCGAGCCCACTGCCAGCCAGCATGGGTGAAGAAATTAAGGTGTATTGCAAATTTAGTGACAGCGAGGACGAACAAGACATGGATAATTAGAACAGCTCATACAAAATTGACGCCATCCATACACTTTCATCGTCGCCTTAAAATAAGCCACTCGAATTTGCAATGCGGGCGTTCTTACCCGAGCGTGTCAATTAGACCGAGAGATCCAGGAATGTATAAACGACTGCCTGGCATTCCCAATTCCATGGCCGGCGAGTCAACAACAAATGCAACTTCAACAGATACCACCATCCAAAATGGGCATCGCAAAGCTCTCTGTGGCAATCGCCTGCGTTTACATTGTTACCAAACTGTAAGAACGCCGACGCCCGGCTCGTATTGTGGAAACTGACAAGCAGTATAGTCTTGACAGGGTGGGGTTGCCCCGCCGCCGGGCGTCCACACGGCACACCGTCTCCCCCATTGGGTCACGTCGCCGGCCAGACCGCGTGAACAGCCGGAGCTCACGCGGCCGCTATGACAGGGTTCGATCTCCCTCTCCCGGCGGTTCCTACAGACCTCGCTGATCTGGGGAAAGGAAGGAGAAGAAGGAGAAAACGTTGACGCACACCCGCCCGCAAATGTTGCATTAAAGGGCAGGGATTGTTGAGATAGGTCATAAAATATGCAGAATAAACCATTCCACATCCATCTCACAGCCAACGAAAGAGTTGTTATTCGTGATCACAATTTTGTCCCCAAGTTTAAATCCACCGGCGCTTAGTGAAACTGCGTGCCGTGCCTCGTTTTTACTCTTGCCGAGCAGTTCATTTACGTCTTGCTTAGAATAGTACGCCAACCAGAATTAGCCAGGGCTCAGTTCCGTTCCGCAACCGAGATAAATACGGCGGTGACGCCGTGTCCGCAGGATGAAGCACAGATCACAGATCTTGCCTTAGATTATTTTAACATGGCGCCATTCACCTGCAGAGTTGTCGATTCCCATGTGGTGGGAGTTCCAGGCGTTCATGTCATGCTCGATTGCCGGGACCAACAACATCGCGCCATTGCACGTTTCGAATCCGTAACTGATGAAGACGGCGGCATCAGCTTTTGGTTCCCACTTCCATCAATTGGGGAGGCGGGTGAAATCGAACCTGAGGTTGTGGATACCTTGGTGGTACCTCGTATCACTCTGAAGTTCTTGCCGGGCAACTTTCGTCACACGGGAGTTGGAGGTGGTCCTTGGCTCAGCATCGTCACTGATCTCTACTTGGCGGGTAAATCTGACCACGGGGTCATCCTCCATCTGGAAGACAGCCCGCGCTTAGAGCATACGCTTTACCCAGTCTCTGGTCCGGTCAGTTTGTCCATGCCTAAGGCGAGTTTGCCGCCACTTGCCGCTCTCTCACGAAGCCCTTCGCCCCTCAGGCTCCCACCTCAAGTATCGGCGGATTCCGACAAAGCCAGCCTATTACGCCTGAAAGGAGAAGACAACCATGGAAAAACTCGTTCGCGAAAGAGGACATTGGAGCGGGAGCAACTGGGACGAAACACTCGGGCGAAGTTCCTGGAGGGTGGGGCGGAGGCTATACAATTGTAGAGCACTAGTCAGCGAACACAATCTGACTTTAACACCGCCTGAGATTTGTGCAAGCAAAGCCTTTGCAAGTTTGTCTAAAAAGACCGTTGATCCCTTGACACAAAGGACCGCAGCCAGATCAAGCTTCGATTCTGTCGGGTCATTATGCCGGTGTTCCACTCACACCAGTGTTGGGAACGGCCGGCGCCGAGCCTGGCTCTCCAAAGGAGGCGCCCGATTCCGCTTGCTTGCAGGGTTAAACGTAAGGAAAGAACTCTTCTCAAACTGAGACAGCGTTGGCGCCATTGCCAATCGAGCAAGAGCCGACTCGAAGAAGCAGCTGGCCGCTGCGCAGATCACGATTGCGAAATTGCGTTCAGAACCTCTGGCTCTTCGCCACTGGGTATGGGACCAACCAGTTTGCGTTGATGTTGCGACAACTAACAGCCTTTCAGAAGCCTTGGAAAATTATAGAGAATCCTGGAGGCAAATATTCCACTGAGAGACGCAAAAGATCCGAGGAAAAAGTGACGTGTCGCAATCGTGTTCGCAAAATGACTCACGGTTGTTGGTTTGGCAAGCAGCAGCCTGGAGGTGGCAACATGTTTCCCAACTACCCTGTCCATCACTGGCTGAAAACTCCGTTTCGGGTGGCCATTTATTGCCTTGCAGCTGTGACCATTGTTCGCGAATTTTTAGTCTGAAATGAAGAGCCAATGAGGATGGCACTTGTGAACCGCAACTGTTTTTGTGTGATATCCCATGCATAACGCGCATTAGCAAACTGTTGGTTCAGAAACAGAAAGCGCCTGAGTTTTGACCTGAACCCGTTTCTGGAGAACTGGCGAAAAGAACTGGCGACAACCAACCAGCCAACCAGCCAACTGAGGCCCACTGGCCGGTTTACATAGACCTATCACAGCAGTCTACGCGATGCTAGGTATTCGCCTGTTGACCCACTTACAGCCAATTTGGCGACGTGATGGGTTACCGATTGAACGGTTCGCCCCGGCCCTTTACAGCACGAACCAATCGCGGCACATAGCGGCCGAAGGCTGATCGCCGCTGGCCCCACAGACAGCTGTTGCGTCTCGAACTGGTGTCTGCGTCGGCATTCGGCATTCGGACCAGGGTCCGCCAGCCCGCCCTGTATGGCTGAAGCTTCGCCTTGGTCGGTAGCCTGATGCCAAGCACGCACGACTGTCGTGTGGCTGTCAGAGCACGTTGGTTATGGCAGGGAGGCTCATTTTACTGGTCCCGGCTTCACTAGCTGTGTTTACGTCTGTTGGTGCCAGACAAATACTTCTTGGC